CGAGCATATAAAGCGAACCGGAAGCCGTTGTATGCACTCAAATTTATTTACCAACACTTTTTGATGACAACTATAGACACTACTGGCATATTCCAGTATCGGCCGTATAGAAGTTTTAGAAGCAAAGAGTTTTACGTCCATACTTGCATGTAGTTTTTTTCCTTATTAACTACAACTTCTCCGAAGCCCTAGAGCAAGCATTATCAATATGTGTGTGCCACCATGCGTTATTGTGAGACCTAAGTATTTAAACGCATTAACTGTCAACAAGGGGTGATTTCCGATACAGCATTCAAATGATATGATCGTTTTTTTCCCTAGAAATGTTGGTAACAGTACATTTCAAATAACTGATTTTCGTTCCCGAAGCTTCACACCATTAAATATAATTCCTTTAGACATGCGGCAGTGTTCAACTGGTCCTTCCTACCAGTCACTATTGCGTAAATTAAACAATCAGCAAACATTTTGAGCTTTACGTGAGGTTTTGCTATATCTGCGATATTGTGGAAATATATCAGAAACAATAAGGGCCCAAGAACCGAGCCTTGTGGAACTCCAGAAAACACTTCTAGTGAGCAAGACATGGAGTTCTCAATTTTCACGAATTGCTTCCTGTCATTTAGGTACGCTTTAATCCAATTAAGTAAAAGCTGACTTAGTCTAGCACAGCGAAGCTCATGCAGTAATCTGTCGTGAGGTACCTTGTCGAAGGCCTTAGCGAAATTTATGCAGATTACATCAATTTGTTCATTCATAACTAAAGCTGTCACAAAGTCATGGATAGTTTCAATAATAAGCCTTGTTGTAGACGAGACTTTACTCCTGAAGCCATGCTGATAAGAACAACAAGTAATTTTCATTTTCCAGGAATGTGACGATATGCTTGCCAATGATATGTTCTAATATTTTGCAGCAGATAAATTCACGTGTAAGCTGTAACTGTGAATGGTGCGAAGCTCCAAGGGGGCTTATTTTTTTCCTTCTTGCGCAATCGTGTGTATATCCGGCGTGCTACGCTCATCAATGACAGCTAGCCCATATTTTAGGCTTTGTTTAATCTCACTCATACCAGCAACGCATGGAGCTGTCATTTTTTTTAATAAATTTTGCTTTCTTTTGCTGGCATTCGTGTAACTTGTTCACAGTGATACTTTCTGCCAAGATAACTATCGTCTTGACTGTATACGGCGTTCAGCGAAACCACACTCGCCGAAACGACGGCTGCTGTACGCGTTGCGCCTGTATGCTGTGACGCGCGTCTTTTCATGGAAAAGTAATATACCGATAGCTGATTTCTTCCCTACAACAGGAAATCTTTTTATACCAGGACAATGCGCGCGATCAGTTTGTTTGTTTGTTCTCCAATTCCTCTTCGGAGACCCCGTGTTATCCAACCAAGTTATTTATTGTCCTTGGACTTCCTGAGAATAGAAGAAGCAATTTATATAGGAGGATAATTTTTTTTTATATTTTCAGCAGTTGTGCAGTGGGGATGGACAGAAATGGCTAAATGTTCAAGCCAGGAAGTAACGTTCTATATTGGCTAGCCGCCACGACGTCGTCAGTCTTCGCTTTGTTCATCCGGCGTCATGCTTATCCTGGTGTACCGGGGTTGTTTACGGAGCAGTTGTGCGTGCCGTCGTTATTTTTTTTTTTAGTTCCCCTTTCATCAGTTTGTCACGGCTTCATAACGGCCGCTCACGTTTCTATTCTTGACTCGCCCCGTCAGCCATAGGATACCCGCCAATTTCGCTAAAACAAGATGTCCATTCAATTGTACACGTCATTGATGTTGTTCGAAATCACTGTTGCAAGGCGAATCACTGAGCCCTGTTACATTTCAGCAAACGTCCCGTTGTTTTCGCTATCGATTTTCAATATACTACTACTACTAATAATAATAATAATAATAATAATAATATTAATAATAATAATAATAATATTAATAATGAACTCTAACGTTTCAAAGGTAAATAAATTATACTCTGTGTTTTTTTTTTTTGTGTTCGCCCGCACAGTGGCACGTGCTCGGCTCCCAGGAGATAATTCACAAGCAGTCGTGTCGATTTCTTACACGAGTAACTGATCTGAAAGAAGGAGGAACTATTTTAAAACACTAAGTACAAATAAATTGAAGGTGCGCGGCTTGTCAACCACTCCGAAACATCACGCTTTCGTTTGTTTGAACCTCACGTCCTCTACCGCTTTCATCTTTCTATTCTTATTTCCCATTCGAAAGCATAAAGTAGCCATGCGAACATATTTATGGTTAACCTACGGGCCTCACGTCTTTCTGTTCTTTATTTGTTCCTTCAGTCTTGCCACGCTAATCCTCTGGAATTTTCTCCGAGGCGTATTGAAGAAATATAGGTACTGTGTCTAACTGCATCGTCAGCGTAAATGTGTACAGCACGCTTTGCAAAGGTATACCTAATAAACTGAAATGGCAATATATCTTTATTGCCCAACAGTGGCGTTGGCAGACTGTGCATCTTCGAAGCCATGCCCTCTCCCCTTTCCCATTTTTTTTTTGTAGGTCATAGCATACAGAGCCCTTAAACGGCACTCAACTATACTTACCTGTTCATACCTAAAGTCAAATAAAAAGCCTGCCCATACCCCCCCCCCCCCCCCTTTGCCCCAAAAACTTGTGCCTACACCCCTGTTTTGCCCAATATGAAAAAATAGGTATTTTATTTTAAAGAAAGGCGTACAGGATCTCATATAAGGTTGTATATGTGAGGATTGAGCATTGATTTTTATTGTAGAAATCTCTGGAGTTGCACGCTTTCGGAAAACGTTGTTGTCGAACGAATCGCATGACGACCGGAACGCGTGTTTAGGGTTGTCCTTCAGAAAAGTCAAAAATTTTCAGGTGCGTAATATACTTGATGTCGCTTTTACATGCTGTTCCTGAAAAGTATTTTAATTGACCACCGTAGAACATTTCGACAAAACCATCAGGGAGAGTGCGAATCTTTTTTGTTTGTTTTCTACCGACAGTATAATGCATCACAAGGTGAAGGTATTTACGCGATATTGTTGAAGAACTCCTTTCACAGAAATTCCGGCATCGTCGTCGTTCGTTGTGAGCCCAAAGTCCTCATCTTATCCACGACCGGGAAGTCTAGAAAGGTGTATATAAAATAAGTAATTAAAATTTCCAGGTACGAGTGAGGATGGAAACCAGGCCATTTGCGTGGCAAGCAGGCGGTTTACCACGCAGCCAGGCGTCTGCTTGGAAATACAGTGAAAATATACTTCCTCCGTTTGCAAATTCCATGAAAGTAATAACACTGTGAGGGTTTTCATGTATTAAAACCATGGCATGATAATGGGAAATGCCGCAGTGAAGGGCACCGGAAATTGTTCCCATCTGGTTCTCTTGACGTGCGCTGACATTGCACAGTGTATACATGGACCTCTACCATTTCGCCTCCATTGAAATGCGATCGCCTCGACCGGGATCTAACCCGCTACCTGCGGATCAGCAGCCTGGCCACTGATATACGGTGGCAGATTTCTCCTTTCCACACTCCTCCTTTACATATAATTACTGCTTTAGCTCCTTGACATATAGCTCCTCCTTTACAAACACATGCATCCTGCATACGGGCTTCACAGTACAACATGTAATATCGTAGTAATACTGTGTGGTAGAAGCGTACGTTGCCGTTGGCCGTCAGGACATGTGATTATCATAACTTGGTGGTTGAAAGCTGACCACCCAATATAACAAGCACAGATGTTACTGTGTGCATTACTCTCAGACCACGCAGGGGTGCATAGCAAGTTCGCAATCATTGCAAGTGCTTCATCACTCGTTGTTTAAAGTATGCTACCCATTGCACAGAATGCAGCCATAGGCAAAAGCTTCACTGACACAGGCCACTTTCAACTTCATGTATTACATTGTAGTAACCGACAATTTAAACTTGTCGAATAACATCATACAGCTAAATGTGTGCGCTAAGTGGTTAAAGTCCACGCACTAGGTACACAATATTGCTATCATGTTCAACTCTTGATGGCGAAGCTTGAGCATCCCCTAATTTTTATTTACAACATGAAATCATGCATGTATTTAGCCCAGTGGGCACTCGGCTTCATGGCGTGAGGGCTTCGGTTCCGAACTTCGCTCAGCTAAAAAATGTTATAGGGTTTTAAACATATGTCTTTTCCTAGCGATGAGCCTCATGTGACACATGGATGGCCACAGTTTCCTGAATGACACAGAATAGAAACGCTTACTCTTTTAAAACTCGATATTTTATGTCTGACCTTTTGTCATACTTCAGATCTCATCGTCATGCAGAGGTACTTATTTTGTCTTTTTTTTCTTCTTTTCAAATTGAAATTCATTTATTATTCTTACGCAAAAATGTTCATATAGAAAAATATACCAAGAGGGTTCCATAGTCGAAGACTGCAGTGGGACCCTCGGTAATTAATAGATAGAAAGACGTATAAAAAGAGGAAACAAAATTGTGTGCAGGTGAACAGCAATGAAAAGGTATTATAAAACAAATATTATTCAATACTAAATTCATAGACTCAACACAGTGGCAAAGTGCAATAACTAAAAAAACAATCAAACAAAACTAATCGTAACACAAGTGATGCATTCTGATGATGAAAAAGAACAAATTTACATGTAGCAATATATTCAAATACATAAATCTACATCTGCAAATAAAAAAGTTTAGTGGCATATCTGAGTTGAAAAAGAGATAAAGTTTCGATGGCCAGGGGAAGATCATTCCACATTTTTTGGAAACATACCCGTTCACGAGCACAAAGTGACAACATTGACAAATTAAACTGCGTGTGCATCAGAAGCAAAAGCGTTACCGAATTTTTCAACAGTTGTCTCCCTACCAAAGCAGTGAAGACTGCATTCGGTAACTTGTTTCAGTATCTAAGACATTCACCGCAGAACCTTTTCATCTCAGCTGTAAGAAAGCAATGAAGAAAAAAACAGACAAGAGGCAAAGTGGCTGAGACAATCAGTGAAACCATCACAATGGTTTATTGAACGTAACACGAAATAAATAAATAGGGAGGGGTGCGGAAGAAGGTACTCACTTCCGCGCTAGTTACGTGGTCGTATGACATATCATAACAAAGGGGCCTGCGAAAAACACGAATAGATGGGCATTCATTTATTATTTTCGTTCACGAAGGGGATGGCGTGTGATAAAACGGGACAATGTGGACGCGCGATAGACACATCTAGTACTTGATCCGGAATGAAACCTGGCTGATGATCGACGAAGCCATGAACGCGCTGTCTTCGAACTTTCTCTTCAGGCAGCAGGACATCCTCGCCTTGAACTCTGCGCTGAATTTTTCCTGCGGGGAAGAAAAAAAATAAAAGGTCGACATGTTACACTGTAATGCGTGAATGTGAAGGTTTGCTGCGCATTTGGTAATGCGTTAGGTTATGCACTGCGAGACCAGACATCTTACACGACATGGTGACCGTCAGAGTGAGAGAAACGCTTTGCAGTTACTTCGGCCTTCTCAGTCTCTTGCAGTGATCCTCCCCACCTGATGTTTTCTGCACCTTGCGTAGAGTTGAAAGAACGCCGGCAATCGGAGCACCTTTCACCAAGCGACGATGCCATGCGGTGACGCAAAAAATGTGACGTGATACAACACCTTCATATTTTGACATCACAAACTTACGCTATCTGGGACGTCGTTATGACATTACGCGATAACGTCAAAGCATGATGTCATTAGTTACGTAGGGTACGTGGGACATTATGCCGCTTCATTCGCCTGTCGTATTTAGCACAGCGGGCCGCTCACTAAGACACGTAAATCTTTGGAATTGAAAATATCAACGCGAGAGAGCGGACGTCGGGTGAAACACGAGCACGAGACAATGCGGCATCATTGTCCGTGAGGAAGCCGGGACTTTGGGGGTGGCTTAACTAAATAAATATAACTACAATCCAGAGAGTGGGAGAAACGTAGCAGTCGTACAAAGAAACAGAAGTTGTTCATGCGCTCACATCTTTGCCGACCCGATACTGCATCTCTTTAGTCCGGGCACGCGTGTCTTACGGGCGTCGAAAGCCGGGCGTGAGGGCATCTGGAGCGGCTACCACGGGTCACGCAAAGACATGGTCCCAATTGAAGTACCTCGACGAGCACTCGCCCATCTGCGCCCGGAAGTGGATCACTTTCGCAGCAACATCCGGAAATCGGGGACGCGCGTGCGACCCCACTAAGCTCTTCGTCGCGACGGCGCTTATGACATAGGTGTCTTGCGTCGCATTGTGTCGCGTTCGTGCCCTCACTCGGGATCACATCTCGCTTCCCTTTTACCTCTCGAGCTGCGCGATGTAATCCTCCTGCTTACTCGTGGACCGCGCGAGAAGTGCCCCCCCCCCCCTCCTCTGACGACGATGGTGTCCGGCGTCTGAAGAACAGACCATAATAGTGGCCGCAATGACGTCCACCCCGCCCTTTCTCGGCGCGCTTGCTTCGCGGGCATCGTGAGCAGTTCGCGCCGTGGCCGCGCCATTCGGAAGTCGAAGGCGTGAGTCACGATGTACTTCACTTTGCGAAACGCGGGAAATGTGTACACTGACTCTAAGCACTCCCGTTCGGGCCCCGATTCGTTATACTAACTCACCTTTTTTTTTGCTGTCTCTCGTTTATATGTTTCCTTTTTTTTTTGTTTTTTCCCGAACACTGCCCGCTTTGCCCCCATTCCTCAGGGGCCACCAGCGTGCGCTGATGTTATATCGAGGAGCGAGCTGCTCAAACATCAGTCAGTGCCATATATATATATATATATATATATATATATATATATATATATATATATATATATATATGGTGTAAGGATGAGAGCGCTGCTGGGGCTGCGGTTAGAGAAACAAATAGAAGAATGAAGTCAGATTAGAACAGCCGGCCCGCAGCAACGTTGCTGTGGGCCTCATTGACCTCATGGATCCTCATTGACCAGCAGGAGGCACAGCTGCCGACTGCATGGCGGTCGTTTGCCGAGTCTGCTCGTACTGCACTCAAGAAGTCCACGGCTGTCGAGAATGCACTTATTCCAGATTTACCTGTTGTTTCGGCATCTGCCAGCCTGGCATGTGCTTCTGCTGATGATAATGGGCCGTGCACGCGAACACCACCACAGTGCCGTACGGTACTCCGAGGGCAGCATGTGTCAACGGGGAACACGATGCTGATCGGTCAGACAGCGACCACCTCGCACGAAGCCGCAAGATGATACATTTCTGTAACGTTGGCATCTGCTCCATGTTGTCTGTCTTGGTGGAGTTAATTCATTAGGACGTGGTATGGAGTCACCAGAGAACGTCTTTCCTTCTTGCGGCCATAAAATTGGAGAGTTCAGTGACTGTAGCACAGAGGCCTCGGCGGCAAACCACGTGGATTCCGGGTTTTGCAGGCTGCAAGAACTCACAAGCATGCTTCGTTGGGCAAGTACGTGTCTTCCCAGCACATAAACATGGACAAACACGGCTTACACCTAAGCTTCAAATATCGACAGGCTAATCTGCTGCTATAGGCGTGTGATGACCGTCTCGACATAGGCAGTGGCGTCCACGTGAGCCATGATTGCCCGACTTTAGAAGTACATCGCTGCGTGGCCGAGGTCGACCACCACCACACAGTCAATGTCGCCCCCCCCCCTCCAGAATGTTTGGCATTGAGGCAAGGGGAGTCACTGCGCACCTGAAACCTGCAGTGACCAGCCCGCCAAAGCCAGTGCCGCCCTCAGAAAGTTCGGCAGCTCAGCAACACAACTCGCGGCGTACGCAAGATAGACCACCGTGGTGCACTCAGTGCCGCCCACCAGAGACGGTTTGAGCAGCTGGTCATTCTACGTCGAAGTCATGGCCGAGTGTATGGATGACAGCGCCGCTGGGGCTCTGGCACGGGCGCATGCTCGGATAGAGAAGGAGAAGATTCCCGTCATGCTAACTCGGCAAGCTTTCCTGGCCGTGGACGTGGCGCATCCTGCGTGCCGCAAGCATCACCTAGTACGCGCGAACATTCGGGGGGGGGGGGGGGTGATTGACCAATGAATCTTCATATGCTACAGCACAACTAAAGCTGTCTAAGACGTGATTGTCGCCACGTAGGGAACGAGAAGAAGGGTAAACGAGGGGATCGATATGTGTCATAAAAACTGGGGAAAGGTGAAACATGTAATGGAAAAATGCTCCAGCTCGACTCATGGAAAACCTGGGGAGAGGCGAAGCATGCAGCTTTTGAGGGAGATTTCTTTGATGAGATACTATATAGTGGGACCAAGCCTGAAATCGGTCATGAGGGTTCCTACTCCACTAACGTCGTCGGAAAACAGCGTCGGAATGCGAGTTATCCTTAGGTGATGGCTCTTCTTCTTCCCTTTATGCCCGGTTTGAGTACCCTACGGCATGTATAGGGAGGGTGTTTCTGCTCCACTAACATCGTTGGGTATTTCTTGGGCTAGCTGTTGCATTTTTTGTTTCATTTCAGTGGACCATGGGCGAGTAGTGGGATCAATCTCTTGTGGCGCTTGCCCATTTTTGTGATCGACTGTCACTACATGACACACCGTGACGACAGGACATGCCGACAAGCCTATAGCTCTTCAGGTGCTTCGCACCTAAGAGGTGCTGCAGTTTTAGGTCGGAAAAGTACGATATGATTTATGTTGATGCTGTAGTTGTGTGCTGCGGAAGCTTCCATCACATGAGGTTCTTCAACGTGCATCTAAATCGAATCGAAGCAAAATGTTGTCTATAGCATTCTCAAAATGCGGCCGCGCTGGCTGTCACTCAATCCGACGACGTTCAGAATTCCCTTACAACCAGCCTCATAACCACTAGACCACAACGGCGGGTTCAACAAACAGAACGAAGGAATCCACAGAGAAAGTTGTTAAATAGTTACTTGATCGAATAAAAAATTACAAAGAAAACAAATGAAGAAAGAAACAAAAAAGAAAAAGGCAAGGAAGTCAACAAGAAAATGGATTTAGTTAGCTACCTCAAGCTTCGAAAATGGGAAATGAAATCGTACAGACAAAAGAGAGACGAACGAGAGAAAAAATAATGTACGCGAGAAAAAGGCCATGCATATAGCAATTTCATCGCGTATCTGAACACAAAACAAAGTTAAATCACAGCTGCTTGCTCTAACATCCCCACCGAAAAGACATCACGTGCTAGTCCGTTATTTCCCGCAGTTGCATGGCGTTGTGTGTCAGATAGTTTTGTTGCTGCAACTGCGCGTCTACGCAACTATACCTCGTTTCGCGTATATGGTTGAGCAGAACGACCGGCGCTCACCTGCGGGCTAATCAGCGCCCTTGGAAGCCCAGTATCACGACAGTACAAGAGCTCCATCAATATCATCTAAATAGACTAACCCCCGTATTCCCAAACGCTCCTCGACTCGACTTCCACCCTTCACTTGACAGAGTTGAGCACTGCGTCACCACTCGGCTGAAAATGACGCTGCGCTACTCGAGAATAGCAGCAAATTATCTTATATGCAGTGATTTTCCCTGCCTAGAGGTGGCGCTCCCGTCAGCTTCCTCAAGTGAAAATGGAGCGTTGAGTGAAGGGGCGTTCTAGAATACGGGGATAAGTCGCATGTTCCTCTAAGTAAGCCGTCAAATTCGAGACAGGTAGTGTGTGTGTGTGTGTGTGTGTGTGTGTGTGTGTGTGTGTGTGTGTGTGTGTGTGTGTGTGCGCGTGTGTGTGTGTGTTCGTGTGTGTGTGCCTGTGTGTCTTCATGGGCGGGCGTTTTTTAATAGTGTTGCAGGTGATGTAAGTGGTTGATGTTAGTTATTCTTCAGCCTTCGTTACGAAACATGTTTACAAACCTAGAAAGAAGTAGAAAATTAGCCTCTAGACTTTACCGCGACGCAGAAAATTTCACAGTGATCAACTTATGTATGCTCAGAAACTCATTCACAGCCGTCCATCTGTATCATCACTGATGGCAGCGTTGCCATATATGACTAGGCACATCGTGTCTTCAAACGTGTAGACAAACGGTCACCTCGCGAATCGGTGTCATAATCAGGAACAATCTAAACGAAGAGCTCCACAGTGCTAAGAATCCGCCCGCGGCCGTCGCACTGGGCGGTCTGCAGTATTGGAAGAGCGCGGGGTGAGTGGCAGTGCTGTGGCTAGCGTGTTATATTCACTGGTGCACTTTCCACCTCGTGTTCCCACGCACATATCCAAACGCATACGCCCTTCGATGCAAGCTTGTCCCTGGCGTTAACGAGCGCAATGGCGCGCGCGTGACGCAGCTTGTACGGGGCGTTTCGGGTGAACGTGGTTGGCATTAGCAAAACACTCGTGGGTAAAGTGCCAGCAACTCACTTTACGGGCCATGGATTATCTGATAAGAGTGTTGTACATTATGAAGCTTTAAAGCACATACAATGAGAGTTACGCGAGCTTTTTACGTTTGTGTTTCTATCTCTTGTGACCAACATCCGACGAATTACAAATACTATGTACAATTTAATCTTAAGGTATAGTGAATTGGTGAGGCCCTAAATGTGTTGAGGTTCGTGGCAACAGATCTCCAGAATATGCACATGCACTACTTTATTTTGAGGATCTGTGGGCGACACTTAAGCGTGTGTAAATCAGCGTGCTCCCCGCAGTAGTCAGTACTTATGCCCTTTTCTCTCGGTGGTGTCGCTCATGAAAGAGATAACCCTGGCAATATGACCCAGTTGCACGCGCCTCGTTTTCATTAATAGACGGTGTACATACCTCTGGAGGTAACCTGCGCCAGACATTTAATCTGCGATAACTGAATGCGAGTATCCCCGCTTGCAGCACCGTTAAATAAAAGAAATGCATTTGGAAAGCCGTACGGTGTGGGAACGACCGAGACGTGGCACGAATGAGGTTCACCATCATTATGTATGTATAATAGGAGAGGGAACTAAGGAGAGGGGGATGACTGCACAGGACGTAGCTTGAACCGCGAAAGGACTTCTGTAGTCAACACTGCATCATGGCGATTGTGGGCACTTATGGCCGCGGTTAGCAAGGTTGTCTCGGCGCACCGAGTGCGCGCGTTCATTTATGTTTCTCGTCGCTACAGTCCCACGTACGGCTTGGACGGTTCTTGGGTTTTGTTATTCTTCTCGGTCGGACATCGAAACACCGAGACTCCTTCCCAGCACACGTTTCTTTTCATTCTTAAGGCGATACGTTATCCAACACATACCTCTTCCTTATCTTTATAATAAATTTCCGAACGTGGGTAGTTCTTCAAAAACAATAACGTTATGCACAATAGGTAGCAAACGCAGTAGGTGCGCCCTCTTTGCCTACAAGCGCGGGCTGCCAGGCTGCGCCTGCTTATAGAGGGGTTGCGTGCCGTGTGCCTGGACAACCGCGCTCTGCTCTGGCCGCTGGAGGTTGCAGAGGCCTGCCGCTGGAGCCGCGCGCGGTGTTTTGCGCGCCGAACGAAGTGCGGCAGTTCATTCTTCAGGCATAAGGCTACGGCGGCTGCTGCGTGGATTTGGGTCAGCAGCGTGCCTTTTTATCTTGGACAAAGTTTCCCTTTGTTCTTTTCTGAGTTGGCTTGCAATGCATATGTGAGGCCTGCCGAATAGCGAGCAGGGAAGGCGGTTGTTCGAGCACTGCATTGGTGGGTCCGCTCTCACTCCTACTTTTTTTCCCCCCTGGAGTGTTTGTTTTCACGGCCTTCTTTATTTTTGTGCGTTATTTTTCTGCGCGCGCTCGAAATCGCCCGCGCGATGTTGAGTGGGAAGGGCGCCCACCAGCGCTCTGTGTAAGCCCGCATTTTTCCTTTGCGTTATATATTTTTTATTCGTTATAACACAAGCCAAGGACCGCTTCCTCTTGTATGTACATACTTACAGCGTTTATTGTCCTTTGCGGGCTGCACGCTCCGAATTCCGATCGGACTTCATACGGGCTTTACCATGCGCTCTGCTCTGTGGCTGTCACCATCCATGGACTTCTGTATTTCTCATCTCAAATGCAACAACAACCCACTGAGTGCGAGTACCATCGAATGGTTTGCGGCTGCCTATTGAGATATTTATTGAAAGTGTACCACGCACTCACACATCAATACGGTGCTTCAGCCTGCACAAGAGGCTTCTCAAGCCTGAGTGAGCCTGCAAAGAATGAGCTGTATACAGCGACGGTGCGCTGTTTATGGGAGAAGGAACGTGATGGGTTTTATTTTGTTGCGTCCCCCTTCTCAATGCTTCCTTTCCCCCTGCAATTTCGAAAGCGAATGCCTGTCGCCCAGGTTACATGTTAAGGGTTGCGTGATATCAATATTCAGCAGGCACATTTGCTCCCTGGTGTAGAGGTTTACGTTACTTGGCTGTAAGCTAAACAGGCTAAGTATACAGTAAACTCTCGAAACTTTCTCGCACCTCGAATATCATACTTTTTGCTTACTCCATTGCGTGTCTGTTGTTCTGTTTCTTTCCTCGTCACTGTTTGTCAAATGTTGCTACGAATCTCGAAAGAGGCAGAAGACTACTGTATTCATTCGTTGGCATGTAAGCAATCATATTGTTGTCGAGACATCCAATCGAACGTGAACAGCCTTCGACATTTCGCAGCAGGTTAACGCGCTCTACACTTTGATTTCACCATGCGACATAAGCTGTGGCATACAATATATTGCTGGCAATAATCAAACTACATGACGAAAAACGTGAGAATCAGAGGTAAACATCCCACATATATGTGCCTAGGGGAGTACATCTGAAATAAAGAAAACTAAAACTACAACCAAAGTTCCTTTTGAAACCCATTGCTTCGGAGCCTGGCTGGCTCCACCTTGAGCGGCGAGACAGCGTGAGGCCTACGTATACGCACTTTTGGTACATAAAGGCTTAAAGACACTCTTCGCGCAGACGTTGATAGTAAACAACGAGATGATTTCCTGACAAACGATTGATCTGGCTCCTAAACCCTGGTCTGTTAAGTAAGATTTTGTTGTAATTTTTCATTTTCCTTCTCTTCAATTCACAACGCAAACCAATCATCCACCTGAAGCAAATAAGAGATAAAAAATGGCTCATGCCTATCGCTGATCTAAATAAACTTAAAAAAACCTTGCCCTTGTGATACGCTTTTCTAAAGAACCCTATTTTAATGCAGTGCTGTTGAAATTGCTTTTGGAAGATCCGAAAAAAGTTTTGCAATTACATAGGTGAGAAAAAGAAGCTATATATAGTCTCAAATTTCTGTTAATGGTTCTATCACTACTTATCCTAGTTCCATTGCATGTCACTTGAATTGGTATTTTCACAGCGTTTTTTCCAAGTCTTGCATTTGCCCACCCCGTGACAAATCATTTGATTCTTCTGATGTAAATTTTACATTCTCACCGTGGCGTGGTTTGAATGCTATTAAACTTAAAAACTAAATCTTCAAGTGGTCCTAACAATCTTCCTAACATCTTCCTGAAGCGATATGCCGAGTCTATCCCAAAGTTTCTTGTTATTACTTATCGTAATTCTTTACTTCGTGGTCAACTACCAGATGAGTGAACGGTAGCCAGAGTCTTGCCCGCACACAATACAAGAGATCGGTCCTTATTAGAAAACTATCGACCCATATCACTTACATCATCGTGTTGTTCGGTGATATGGGTCGATCGGTGATAATCTGTTCGACTAATTGAACAAATTATCACCGATCAAATATATGAATCTCTAGACAAACAATCAGTCCTCTCTGATTACCAATGATGTGTTACTGTTGAGTAGCATTATCTAAAACCCATCAGTTACAGTTATACATTCATTCGCTTCATGTTTTGATAACAATGCTCAAATTGATGAAATATTTCTTGTCTTTAGCAAAGCTTTTGATATAGTTCCACACGACAAATTTGTCCTAAAACTCAGATAAGTTGAACTTTTGGAAATTTTGATCTCATGAATTAAGAGATATTTGTCTAATCGATTTCAGTGTGTAGCAGTTAAGGAGTGGCAGTGTGGCCATCTTCCGGTTGGCTCCGAAGTCTCTTAAAGAAGTGTATTAGGGCCATTGTTGTATTTGCTGTACGTTCACAATATAGTTGCTGCCATTGATCTTAGCATTCAAATTACATTGTTTATAGATGACTGCGAGTAGTTTCATGGAATCATGACAGCTAATGATCAGCACCACGTCAACTTTGTTCTTCTAACATTTCCGAATTTTGTAACACATGGAATATGAAGCTTAATATTAATAAATTTGTCTATCTTAATTTGTTTTTATTTAGTCAGTTTACCGATTGATGACACAGTTGAATTTTAGTGATTACTGAACAATTTATAAACAAATAACTTATAACTGAGTGCTTATGCTTATAGCTCGGATTTGAATGCAATAATAACTTTTAACTGCATTTTGCCTCAACTTACCTAATCTTGAAAGCTGGTCATGTTACCAGCCATCCCGATTTCGCTGAATCATATGGTTATATCACGTGTTCTGCCCATTCTTAATGATGTCGCTTGATGCCGCGTTCTCAAACTGAGGAATGGGTCTCCTCTCAGTTTAGTGTACATATATGTACACTAAACTGACAGGAGACCCATTTTGTTTATCTCCTATCTTTCTCCGGGCCGCCTTTACGAATGTTGTCTTTATCATACACGCAATAGTATATAAACATGACAGCAATGGCAGCCTAGTAGTTGTCTCCTGAAGAAACCACCACGCCTGCCTACACAGAAGGGGAATAACAAAACCAAACAGAAAGCGAAGGGAATAGCACACCACAACACATCAGATCGCACGCAGAGTAGGAAACCTACCAGAGGCAGTCTTAGCATAGTCTGACGGTGCAGCACGCACAGTATAAGATCTACCAGAGGGAGTCCTAGCACAGTCTGACAGTGAAGACTAACTCTATTACAGCTTTGGGAGCCCCGTGTCGAAATATACCACTCCACTATAGGGCCGCGTTTGAGCGTAAACAAGAACGAGAAGTAGACTTCCTTAATTCTTATCACCCTATCTCTCGAGCTCTCCGTTTTTACGCTGAAAAGTTACACCTCAAGAACGCATCGTACGACTTACTAACCTAGTTTGCAGGCAATGACATCTTTCAGAACGTTAGCTGTGGTTTTCGCCAATAAAAAAGAGAGAGAGAGGGAAGAAAAAATAAAAGAAAGAAAGGAAGAAAGAAAGAAAGAAAGAAAGAGAGAAAGAAAGAAAGAAAGAAAGAGAGAAAGAAAGAAAGAAAGACAAACAGTGGTGTAAATATTATATAGCGACTGCTACCGCGTAAGGGCTCAGATGCAATATTTAGTATTTGTACTTACGCTGTAAATGGCGTAGATGAAGGGATTGTAGCAGGAGTTGCTCATGGCCAGCCAGTGCATGCAGAACCAGATGACGTTGATATAACGATACCTGAAATACATTTCAGATTACGTGTGCATCAGACACTGACATGAAACGAAGGAACACACTGCGCCACCGCACAATTAACAGGTGACATGATTTAGCGAATGCGGGTATTGAGAGCACGAATAGGGTTCTTTGTATGTGCGACACACAAACACGCCCGCATGCGCGCACAATTGATCAGTTGGGGAATGCTGCTTGGTCGTTTTCCACTGATCACAGCTTCGATTGCTTCGCTTTTGAATGCAATTTAACAAACTTTAAGGACTTGTGGAGAAACTCACTAGTATTGCGTTTTATATCATTTTCGTATTATTATTCTTACAGCATTTTAAATGTCGTCAATATGCGTGCCGGACATTCATACCAAATTCACTCACTAAAATAATATATGCACAAACAGCATGAATACTTAAGCACATAACAGGGGAACTTAGCTTGTACCTACAAATATTAACGTTACCGAGTTATCGGAACACCAGATTGCGTTTGCTATCTTTCCGAAAGACATGATTTTGCGCAGTTTTAGCACCTATAAGTAAACGCTTTTGCATGTACCCATTGACTGATTGATTGATTGATTTGTGGGGTTTGACGTCCCAAAACCACCATTTGATTATGAGAGATGCAGTAGTGGAGGGCTCCGGCAATTTTGACCACCTGGGGTTCTTTAACGTGCACACAAATCTGAGTACACGGGCCTACAACATTTCCGCCTCCATTGGAAATGCAGCCGCCGCAGCCTGGAATTGAACCCGCGACCTGCGGGTCAGCAGCCGAGTACCTTAGCCACTAGACCACCGCGGTGGGGCAATTATGCATGTACCCAGGAGAACACATTTACGTTTGCACAAACCACTAAATGGTGATTATAACTGCATTTAAAACTATAATATTTAATTTATATAATAGTGAATCACAGCTGCGGAAAGAAATAAGAGAGGTTTTTAGCGTGTACAGTATCTCGGTTTACGCAAAGTGGTGTAGAAATACTGGTTTAGCGGATGATAGTGTCGACATCGTCTGGCGTTTCGTGCAACCATAATCATGGACAAGTTTGTTTTCGCTTGCACGTTAAAGAACCCCAGGTGGTCTAAATTTCCGGAGCCCTCCACTACGGCGTCTCTCATAATCATATAGTGGTTTTGGGACGTTAAACCCCACATATCAATCAATCAAGTTTGTTTTCGCTTAGTGTTCCTGAGGCAAAAAATTATTTAAAAATTGACTAACTCGTAATTTTGCCGCTGCGAGGCATTTACACCAGAAGTAGAATGCACAATTTTTCTGCAATAACAATATTCTGCTTGTCTGTTTTTTTCTCGGCCTCACTAGATGGCTCCACCTATCCAGTCAGTCTGGTGTGTATGTTTCTCACATTTACAGCTTCGGTATTCTAGGTTACACCTGCTTTGGTAATCCGATTGAAACAAGATGATTACTATTTGCACTCGCACTTACGTTTATTTTGGGCTCGGCAGCTGGAGTCTCCCCAAAGCGGATATCGCAAGTAGCCACAAATGAAGGTGGATGTGGGAGATAGGGCCGCAAACATAAAGCTTATGCGGATTACGTTCAGTAAAATCCTACGTTCTGTGAAGGTCCGCGCATGCGCAGATTCTTTGCAGTATGTAGTAACACGGTAATGTAAAAAGAAGTATACGTATAAGCTAGAAGCGCCTATCGACATACGCATATTCATACACATAGTAATGAGCGCTTAGCAACGATACTTCATCATTGACTGCGCAACTCCGGACAAGGATGGCAACTGGTTTTATAGAAACAATTAAGAATGACGTTTAAATACATCATTGTTGCAGGCAGTCCTTGTGCGAACTACAGACATGGTATTGTTGAGACGCCGTAATCCGCTATCAAACGCAGATTTTTAGATGCGGAGCATCTTATACTCGCGCCTTGTAGTGCGCCGTCCGCACCGCTTCTCGAACATTCGACAGCTGACGCGCGCGCATGCGCCGTCGCGCCGTCGCCCACTCTTCCACCATCTGTGCATCCCTTCCTCCTCTACACACCGCGCGCGCTTCACTCCTCCACCATCTGTGCACCCTTCCTCCTCTACACACCGCGTTCGACATCTACAATTCTCCTGATTCTCCAGTGGACGCGCATGTGGCGTCGCACTTCGAGAACATTCAACAGCTGGCAGTGCATGCGCCGTCGTGCTGTATATATACTCAAGGTCGGCGCTCGCTCGCTCAGTTGCCGCTCGTCGGTTGGTTTGTACGGCGCGTCGACGTCCAAGGTCGCGGTGAAATGAATTCCAACGAATCCACAAACACAATGATCGACGTCCCTTCGACCAGCGCCGCCCTTTCGCATACGTGTGTACGTGTTCACTCATTTAACACCCCCTCCTACAACCACGTTAACCAATTTAGCCATCGACCCAAGTAAGTCGCAATTTAACACCCCATTTCACAACCACGTTAACCAATTTAGCCATCGACCCAAGTAAGTCGCACTTTAACACCCCGTTAACCAATTATATGGTCCGCATCCTCCTCAGTGTTCCCCCGAGGGAAGCTGCGGGCAATTTTTTTTATATATACAGCAAAGCCAAAAAAAAATACTGTAACGAGGCCTGCTCAAAAGGCGACCTTTTAGTGTGATAATGAGATGTAGACACTTATCGCGAGCTGGTACTGCATCACTTGCTCAAAAAGGAACATGGGAATAAATGAACGCACCTACAGACAAATAATGTAACTTTTAGCATGAACATTGACAAAAAATGCAACACTAGGTGTCATTAGCTAAAACAAATATGGTTAATCAGGTCAACAGCAGAACACAACAACTTTCATCCCCTTGTTGGTCGCGTAAAGCTGTGTGAAGAAGCGGCACGAATCTTATTTGTTTCCCATCTGCGCATCAAACTTTCTACATACCTCTTCCTGCAATGCCTCAGCCAATTCTTATCATGGCAGGCTAGGTAACGACATTTAGGACGCTCTCGCAACAAAATATTTGCGATGAGTTCAACAATATTATTAACAGAACTATATTAATAACGAAACATTTACAATCAGGAAGAAAAACATGCGTATAAATCAAAGAGCTCGGAATGGTATGAAGAGCATGAGCACCGCAAGACACGTAAGCGGCCGCTCCTCTGACCTTTCGAAGCAGCCGCCACCGAGCTTCAGCCCGAGTGACGCAAGGATTGCGGCATCTTTTAATCGATGACCTTAGAAGCAAATGCTGCCCCTGCTCGTCCTTACACAACCTTTGAGAGAGATGTCGTTACTGTTATTTTTTTCTTTCCTTGAAAAGCGAGCTCAAACAGAAATCCCTGATTGTGAGCTGTAGCGAGAAATTGCAAAAGGAAGCAACATGGAAGCTTTCTTTTTCTCTTTTTTTTTCTTCGTTTTATAGAGAACATTGTCTCTGCGCCTACACCTTTTCAGTGCGGTCAGCTTTTTAAGCGAACAGCAGGCAGTTTGTAGTCGCCATTACTTGACATTACTTAGAACATTGACATTACCTAAAGAGAGAAAGAGAATAAATTGAGAGAAAGGCAGGAAGGTCAACCAGAATTGTAGCACCCGGTTCGTTATTCTGCACTGAGGGGTGGGGAAGAAAGATGAGAAGCGAAGTGGAGAGAAAAATAAACGTGCGAAAAAAAAAAACATTGCTGCTGAGACGAAACAACAGAGCACGTTCTTTGTCACTGTCTTCGCTACAGTGCGCTCCGACTGCCGCTAAGCTGCTGCGTTAGCCCGCCTTGATGACAGACCATTGTCAGGAGAGTCGGTGCTCGGATGACGACACGATTTGTCTTTGCACATATTAGTCAAGGCCTTATCGAACTTTCTGAGTAGTATTGACATATTGAATGGGCTATAGCACCCCCGCTTTTGACATTAGCTTTGCATGACAAAGGAGCACACCTTTGCATATGCATGAATCAGCTGGATCGGTATGTACCTAGGGATAGGTGTGGCTGAACATTGCAGGCTCTTACGGTTTGATGAAACACACGAGGGGGCCTTACGGCCCCACATTCCACATGCATGCAGGAATAAGTCGGTGTGGTACGTGCCACATACAGAAAACCTTCACGGTCACACATACGAATCTGTACGTGGTTTGTTCAACACGTTTGTTGGTGGTTATGATGCTCGGCTGCAAACACGAAGGACATGGGTTCGATCTCTGTGATGTCAACTAATGTTAAAGAATACCAAATGGTACAAGTTCCCAGAGCCGTCTCCTGCGGCTTGCCTCGTGATTGTATCCTCCATGGTTTCGGCACGTAAGAACCCGAATAAAAAAAAAACTTGGAGGGCGCTTGAGTTTCGCTTTCAAGCGTAGCGTTTTTCAATTACGTTCACATCGCTTTTTCAATCGCTAGCCTGACTTTGCTTCTTAGTAGACAGCTTAACCATGCCGCAAGAAAAGAAATGTCAGTGTGCATAACATTGGCCGTTTCAAACTATCCTAGAAAGCATACAAGAAGTACAGGTGCAGAGTGCACCCTACGCCATAAGTATTTCTTTTGCGAATCGGTAAAATGCACCCTCAACGTTCGCAAGGCAACACGCGCGATAGTGCAGAGAGAGAGAATCAAATAAGGGAAAGGCAGAGAGGTTAACCAGAAATTGGAGCATCCGGTTCGCTACCCTGCACTAAGGGAAGGGAGAATAAAGAATAAAGATGGGAAAGAAAGCGAAGAGCGAAATAAACGCGCGAAAGTGAAAAGAAAAAAAAGTGAGCGGGGATGCTACAGCCTATTCACACTCTGGTGCCATAGCTACACACTCTCGTAATGCAGCTGATGGTAAGGATAATTACGGAAATGCTGTAGGTCCGTGTGCTCAGATTTGGGTGCACGTTAAAAAATCCTAGCTGGGCGAAATTTCCGGAGCCCTCCACTACGGCATCTCTCATATATATATGGTGGTTTCGGGACGTTAAATCCCACATATAAATCATCAAAATGACAATTGGTTATACCTGCGCGCTTTGTGATTGGTGGCATT